GATTTCTTCTCGTAAAACTTGTCGACGAATGGAAGTTGAAGAGAAGGGAGGGGTAAGAAAAATACAGAAAAGTTTTAATCGGGTACGCTGTGACGTGAAAGTTGTAAATGCGGCAATAAAATTTTAACCGGAAAAATCGACGATGACTTGACGCGACGAGTCGATTTCAATTACATTATCAAATTCGGCGTAAACAATACAGTTAATTGTTTCGGTAAGTGGCTTTTCGAATCGTACTTCTAATCGTAAACTGCCATGTCTCACGAGATTCCAATGCCCGGCGAAATTGGCAGACAAATCGAGTGTGAGATCAAAAGCGAAAAGCGTGTATCCCTTGGAATAATCGTCTCTACTTATAGAATTTCCCTCATTCAAGAAATGGATACCTGTTCCTGCGAAGAGTGTTTGATAAGCATCGACGTAAAGCGGTTCTTCCGACGAGAAAATCGGTTGTAATGACCTATTGGAAATTTGCATACCGTCGACGTACAGAGAGAAGAAATTTATACCGTAATTTTTAAAATTAAACGGATTTAATTTTCTATTTCCATTAAATGCTTTATTATTAACGAATCCTACTATTATTCGTTTTGGTAATTGGCTTAGTATTACATTATCTAATGATTCACCCGCAACGCCACTGTGAATTGTGAATGTTTTAACCTCGACTCTCGTAAGCGGATACTTGGCCGTAACTTTACTCAGCATTCTAGCATGCGCCAGTAACACTCCAGGGCTTATTTTCGCTCTTCTCACTAGTAAGCTAGCATTGAAAATATGTATTTTCGACGCACCGTTACTTTCCATGAGGCAAAACGAATCTTTCAAGCGGACGAGTCTCAGACGTACTTCCACACCGTTAATTAAGAATTTGTCTTGATTGAAGACGTCGCAATAGAGATGTCCTATAAGATCTATCGCTCGCCCACCTCGAATGTAATGAGCGCGTCTCGCGAGAGCGGTATTGTTTTTCGACTCTAGCGAATCGTCCATATGACCTGGTGTATCCGCGTCCCATAGACATGACGTTAGATGGGAAGTTTTTGCGGGTAAAGAATAATTTAACAATTCCTCGATGTACGCGCGGTACGCGTAAGCGTTGTTTGGAGGTGACACGAGCTTTTGATTGAATACACGTCGACCTGATTGAAGATGGAATGAAGTAGATGATTTACGGGGCCTGCGACGCTCTCCGTGCCAGCGTTGCCGCTCGTTCCTGGAGCTCGAGCCGTTGAATTGTCGCCTGATTTCACGCGCACGCGAAGACTCAGCAGAGTATGCGTGAGATCTAGATATTCTTCTCCGTGTCCGGGACGACGAATTCTATCGGTGAATCGTCCGAGAGAGGTCACGGATTTGTAATAAATCCATTGCGAATTCTCGATACTGGTTTTCGTAGGCGGTAAAGAAAAGAGATCGAGCTCACTTTTTAAGCACTCGCTTGAATGTGTATGAAAAAAAGACATACTTATTCTCCGGCGGTTATTTTTGTTGTCGTCGTCTTCGTCGTGGTTAAATGTGAGCGAATTAAAATATCGTTATTTAAGAAAATATGTCGGATAGGGTACGTTTCTTGCCAATTTTACGTCGTTTCGCCGATGTTCTTGAGTCTTTTTACACCCGCACGGGTTTTCCTCGTCCTTTATTCTTCGTAGATTTTGTACTCTTCTTCTTCTTTCTCGTTTTGATTTTCGATGAATTTCTCTTACTCGAGCGACGACGTTTAACGATGCGCTTGTCGCGCCCGGCAAAAAAAATGCGCATTTTCGCATCAGCTTTATATCCCGAGCCTTTCATGAGACTAGTTATTTTTTCTTTAGCTTGTCTTTTGAGTTTGTTACGCGATTCTTCAAAACGATGTCTAGTCGCTACCTTAAGCGGCGTATTATTTTCTACATCCTCTATTATATTAACACCCACGCGTAAAGCTTCTTTCCCGACAACCCGCGCGGCAACGCCTAGATAAGGCAGCACGCGTCTAAATAATCCTCCGAGAAAACTTCCGATACCGTGCCCGCGTTTATGGGGCGATCCGACAAAAACTCTCGGAATTCCACCATCGCGAGCTCCTCCCTTCTGTAATTCGTCGTAATATGCCGAATAATAATCCATCGACAGAGAACGAACAATTTTTTTCTTTTCTTTTTCCTTTCTCGTTTTCTCTGTCATAGACACCGAATGTTTTTACAATATCTATTAGATACGTCTAAAGTGCAATGTCACCGTCAGCGTCCCGAATTCGAATGGTATACTTTGTCCCAGATGATCTCTTATATCTATTTCTATCGTACGGAAACACGTTGACGCAGCGTGATGTATTGAGCGAGCGAGAATTGTTTTATCCAAGTTGATGCGAACGCGTAATCATTTTGCGAGTCGAGCGCAACTATTGGAAGAAGAGGAGACTGTACGTCGCCAGTGATATAAGGTTCGCAAATGTCACAATAAACAAAGAGTTTGTCGGGAATACCGCGCAATAAACTACCCGGTTCGTCGGCTATTAACATTCGTGTGAAAATGAGTTCGTAAAATAGCAGAGAATGCATTTCTTCATCGTAGATTCACAACGGTAAAATGTTGGGTATGACGGCGCTACTTTCGATTTTAACGAGCTTTTCGTCGTCGTCATTATATTGAATCTTTATACCAATTTCGTGATAAAACCACGCAGGCAATGAGGTAGGTACAGCGGGCTCGCTATCGAGTTGAACAAGATCGTTACACTTAATGTGTATATCGAAACCGAGTATGCGACGCAATTTGTCAGAAAAATTATATAATGTAATATATTACAACCATTTTCTTTACAGTTAAGTTTCATAAAAACTTTACCACCCACGAAATCGTCGTAATGAAAAACGATATGCGAATCGACAGATTTAACTGCGAAATTTACACCAGCAACAATATTTTGCATACTCGAGTACTTGAGGACCCACGGGTACTTGAGATCTCATAGCCGTAACTGATTTATTGTTTTCGTCGATATCGATAAATCTGATTATTCCTTCATTATCGAGTATATGTAAAAAAATACACGGGAAATGAATCTCCGTGAGCGCTACTTCCCAACGCCCGTGCAATTCTATACGTTGGGGTAATTCGGTGGTAAAACACGTGATTGTATTTTCCGGGAAGTAACGCATGCTACTGTTGCTCGGGAGAATCATATAAAATTCGTCCTCCCTCATTTTTTTAATTCAAAGATCTTAAACTCGAAGCGGGTATCCAAGAGTCGAATTTTGAGGGATATCCTTGCCAACTAACTAGCAATTGTTTATTGTTGCCGCGACCCCTGCTTTTTATTATCCGCTTGACGATAAATTCTTCCCCTTGCAAATCTTTATTGACCGGAGTTAATTCTTGTTCGTAAAATATGCCGTCTATATTCTAACCCGCTAAATCGCTTAATTCGTATACACGAGGTTTTCTCCATTCGAGAACGCGGTGAATTCGAAATATTTCCTCGCTCCACTTTGCCTCGTATCCTTTCTCAAAGACTACTTTTGCCCTACTGACACGCACGAGATCTCCCTGATTGTATTTAGCCTTTTGTTTATCGCTGTGCTTCTTTTTTTCTCGATGTTGTCGTTGTCGTCGTCATCGTTGACTTTTCATCGCCGATTCATATTTTCACGCGCGATACGGGCATTTTCCCGCGTGACGGCAGCGGGTTGCATTTTAATAGAGATATGTCGGGTATGATTGTAAGCGTGAACGATATCCTGTAAAACATCGATGTAACGTCGCGTATTTTTATGAGTAAAATAACGCCACATCCGTTCCTTGAGTGTCCTATTAAAACGCTCAACTACAGCTGCTTTAACATAGGATTACGCGCCACGCGAAAACGAATGTATTTTTTTTTAAACTTTTGTACAGGTTGAGCTATAAATTCTTTACCTTTATCCGTCTGCAGTTAGACGGGTCGACGCTCTTTGTTTCCCAAAAGTATACATTGGAAGGCTTTTGTCACGCAGGTAGATGTTTTGTCGCGTAATGGTTCTACCCAAACAAACCCACTAAAAACATCGATAATAACCAGTAAGTAAGAATATCCGTCATTATAACTCTTGAGATTACGAATATCGATTAAATCTGCTTCCCATAAATCGTCGATATTTGACACGTTTAATGTAAACGTGGAAATTTTCGACGCACCGGACGATGTAGCGTATATGCATCTTGGGATTTAAACCATTCGACGACATCGTTACGCGAAAAGTTCGGTTTAGCAGTTCGAGATAAATTCTCCGTTGCGGAATAACCAGCGTAATGCGAGGGAACGTAATATAATTTTTCGAATTTCATTATTATAATTTATGCCAATGAAATAAACCCTTCTTTTTCTCAGGCAATGAATTCCCGTTACTTAATGTTTTATTATTGTCACTGTTGTCAGTGACGGATAAATACACTGATTGTGAGTCTCCTTTGGTCTCGTCTAACTTTCGTCTGAATGATCTTGAATGCGCGAGCGGAGTTTTCGGAGTGGAGCTTCCGCGCAGTAGTGACTTTTTAATACGCAGAGATCTACGCGAGTGCATAGTCATCAAATCACGATTTCCTATAAGGCCGGATGGCGCACCTATGTCATTCAGCAATTGAGCAAACTGAATTCTTCCGACTGCTTTCACCGTTTTTCTCTCGCGTATCGCGTCGTTTATAAGATCGCCAATTTTCGACCCTTCTACAACGACACCGTCTATAGTCACGAGTCCGTGTTTATCCCAGCTAATCTTCGATGGCGGAATTTTTAGCAAATATTTCAATAGCGCGTTTGCTTTAGAACGATACGTTCGCGGTGCGCTGCTAAATATTTCTTTGATCTTTTCCGCGGATTGTGCACGTTTCTTCCCGGAACTACTTTCGCTAACAGCTCCGCTACTGCCGATCGAAGTATTATCATGAGTTTGTATTTCCATAAAGTCGTCATCTGTGCGCGACTCGATATCTTTATCCTGATCGTCATCATCGTCGTCGACATTAGTAACGTCATTGGAGTTATTGCGCGTATTGTCGCGCAAGCGCTTTTTGCTTCTCGGACAAAATGAAGATAGCGCTGAAGTACTTCTTTATACAATTTCCATCTTTCGCCTTCATCGCGAAGAGTCGCGAGGTTAAGAATACGCCACATTTCCGCGTCAAGTCGCGATAAGGGGTTCCAGGAGTTCGTACGCTGAAATTATTATATTATCATTTTCCTCATTCGTTATTATTGTATTTTTTCCTTTGGCAAATTATTCAACAATGTTTCCGTTATTTCCGGCTGTATTTGACGTTGTTGCATTTGCCGCATTTTTCGAGATTTTCCGTAGAAATCAGTACTATTTTTTTCGCTTTCTCCATTTTTCCGTATGACGAACGAACGTGTTAAATATTTTTATAACTTTTTTCTAACCCAGAGAGAAATCAATATTTATAGCGCTATATATTTTTATTCGCCGATAATTTTGGCTAATATAGCGCTTAACAATGGAGCAATAAGGTAAAGTAAAAAACGTCCGCGTTGTACCAACAAATTTCTTTTAGTTTTCCAATTGCCGCGTTTTACTGCGATGCGTCGAAGGATAAATTTATGCTTGGCTAAACGTGACTTTTCATGATTCTCGAGCGGTACGTTTCCCTCGAGCGTATTATAAACACACTATTAAATACACTTTATCAGATTATTTTTGGCAGTACGTAAAAACGACGTCCTTCGATTTTTTCATATAACAAAGAGTTTTCAAAAGGCAGACGTTTCTCTCGCCGATAAACCGCCTGGCGAACTTTATTGCGGACGAATTTTTTCGACGACGTCGACGTCTCTCTTTGTTGTCCTTTTCTTCGCGTGTTACCATTACGATAAAATTGCACAATTGACAAGTCTCACGTGTAAATGCAGCCTTTTTATACGTTACTGCTCCGTTACTGCTCTATTTATCGATTTACGAGAAATGTAGACGTAATGTGTCGTATCGTTGGGAAAAATACACGTGCGAAATCGATAT